GAGTACATAAGCATCCTTTCCCCCCTCAATTGTAAAGTATTTGGAGGAAGGGTTATGAATTGGTTAACCTTATGTTCCAAGTTAGTGAAAGTAACCAAGTTTTTCTTGCTTGTGTCAAAGTTGCTTGCCATATTCCTAATCATAAAAGAACTTATTTCCAACTTTTAAAGTCTTGGACTCTACAAAGGCAAAGCAGATTTCTTTAAATAAAATTTACAGTAGTAGACTGTAGATTCTTGATAGTTACATAGGAACATACATGTTACAGTTGTCATTGATATAACAATACAACTTGGGTTATTGTGTTCAGTTCTTTCCAGTTCTTTCCTCAAAAATCACCACAAATTCTCAAACTTGAGAGGCCTCTTCAAATTAGATGATTATTTTGATCATCTGATCAAATCTGAAATCATTAAATTTTCTAAAAATGGGCACCTTATTCATTCAGATTCAAATACTTTTTACCATAATCAGCCTTGCAGATGAGTTCATCTTAGCAAATAAACCTCCTACTCAGACCTTTTCTTGCATTATTGAAGGTGACTGAACTAAAATTACTGAAAGGCCAAAGTCACTGTGCAAGAGAGGGAAAAAAGAAAGATTTGGAATATTGGCTTTGTAGTTTACATCTTACTATTTCACCTTGTTAAATTAAGTTCTTAAATAATAACTATGCTTAAAAAAGCAAACCCTCACAAACTGAAATGAAGGTTCGTATAGTTCCATGAGACACCCTCTCATAAACACACAGAACTTCCTGGTGCAAAGGAATTAACAGCCTTTGAAAGGAATTAACAAAGTCCTGAATGGGATTTTTATTTTCATAAGGAATGTATGGTTGTACTTGGAAATCACTAAAATTAACTTTCATGCATTTAATTTTCAATAGAATTCCATGCTTCAAAGGAAACTTCTGGGCTGAGGATACGGTAAGGTAAGAAAAAAACCCGACTCTCTTCACCTGAAAACATTCTTTGCACAACTCACTTGTGCTTTATAGCAACTTTCAGCTATCACTGTAATGATTTAGTGATAAGGAAGAAAGGCTTTATACCACCACAAGGGTGGTGGGATACCTTGTAAAGACACTACAAATCATGGAGTACAAATAGCTACAAGACCACCACTAGCCTCACTCCAAATCCATCCCTTTACATGTATTAGCTATGAAAGCACAAAAATGAAGGAAGGGTGAAACAGCATTTCTTCTAAAGGCAGAGAAATGGAAAGAGATGACCTTAGGGAAAATGGGATTTCTCCACTCCCTTCATCTCACCTATTCATATCAAAGTATGGAGCCTTCCATTTTAAGAGGAATGAAAAGAGCTTCACCTCCATAGAAACTCCATTGAAGTTTATTTCTAGATAGGCCTCAGTGGGAAAAGGCCCTTTGTAGGAAGAAGACTGCATGGACAGAACGTCCAGACCGAGGGGGGGGGGTGCCCCGATGGTTTGTAAGGGAAATGAAGAGGATCAGCTCAGAGCTTGAATCAGTGGAAGAGAAGGGACGAGGGGGAAGACAAAACTGAACCCAATAACTGGACTTTTCCAACTTAAGAGTCATTAAGCCCAGCCAACAAAGAGCCCCAATCAGATGGATTTGGCTAATTAAACTGGTGGAAATTGGCAGTATAATACTTTTGGGTTTCAACTGGGTTTGATGCTAAAAAGGAGGGGGGTCCAAAAATAGCTCAGCAAATGATAGAATCAGGGTCTATTTTATACTTAAATTTAGAAAATAAAAGTTCAGTCTGGAACAGACAAATTTTGGTCTGATCTGTGGCAGCTCAGATCTGTGGTCTGTCACCCTATATAACTGTTAAGAAAAAAAAGTGAAGCAATAATTACTCTAATCTCACTATAAAACCTGTTCTCTGATAGGCATTAATGAGTTTTTCTTTGTGCTATCTTTGCAGGAACAAGATCTATAAATTAAATGGGAGACTTATTTATTATATGAGCAGGTATACAAGCTTTCTAAATACACAAAACTGTTTGTTCACTTCAGTGAATCTTATGGAACTAGCAGACTGCCATGTGTTTACAGCAAAAATAATTTGGACCTTTAATTGAAATCAGGCTGTGGATAATACGTGGGGACATGCACAAAGAAATGGGAGAGATAAAACAACGGCAGTTTTTAAATGTATGTGGAAATAGGCATAAATAAATAAATAACAGAAATTATACATTTCATATAAATTCCAAATGGCAAATAGTTCCCACAGGGTTTCATGGAAGAGAAGAAGAACACAAGGAGGGGAAAGGAAGAAAAAGAGGAGGAGGGCGAGGAAGCAGAAGGATTTAATGGCAAACTAATTTCGCCAGCTTCTGGCTCTGGCAGTTCTCATAGTGTGACGCTCTCCCACCAACCTCGCCATATACATTATTTTCCCTATTTATTTCCGTGGAAGCTCCCTTGTCAATACGCGTTTCTCAATACCCAATTCCTGATTTTAAAGCGATGTCTAATTCCTCGGAATGGAATGCCACCGAATTCGGTAATATTTACTCCCAGGTAAGAGGACGTAGGAAACGGTCCTCAAAATGCCAGAAGCGGCGTTAAAAGCCGGAAAAGGAGCGAGACCGACCTGTTCCTTAAGCAGTCGCCGGTTTGGCTCCGCACGGGCTTTCTTATGCAAAGCGTGGAGAATGCAGCGGTTGCCAGCACCTGCATAGCCCCGCTGTCCTGATCTTGTTAACAAACAGCTTCAGGGTATAAAGCAATAAACCTGCCAAATCTACCTGTACGCTAGTTACACGCTAGAAATAAAACATCTTAGGAGACATCTCCTGGAGACACCGTACTTCATGCCTCTCCCTTCAAACACGCTGCAACCCGCCCCCCTTCTATACTTTCACGCTTTTCCCAGCTATATAAGTAGGCGCATTTTTAAAAGTTGTTGTAGATTTTTAAAGGTACGGGTCGAGTTACCCCCTTCTCCGTGTGAGAGTGGAGCTCTTGTTAAAGGAGGCGAGGACAAGGCAAGGCACTCGGGAGCTGCATTCAGAGTTATTGAACCGACCCCAGAAGCTCGAGGAGTTAAACGGCGAGAAAGAAAAGCAGTGGGGTGAAGGGGGGGGAGGAAGCCTCCATATACTCTGAGAAAGACACACCGCGTTGATTGTCCCGCGGACAAAATGCCCTGCAACCGAATCAGGAGAATTCTTTGCCAGCCACAGTTCACACCAACCCGTTTACACAACGCAAAGTGCAAAAAAGTAAAGCTCTTTTAGAGCTTGTTTTTAAGGCTTGTGATGGTCAGCAAGATGTAGGTAAGACCAGAAAAAAGAACGAGAGGGAAGAAAAGGGGGAGCTTTACTTTAGAACGCGGTATCTTAAATCGGGAGGGGGGATTAATCTCTCTACAAAGTGGTAGCGTGCATTTTCTTGGTCTGAATAGTTCTCCTCCTCCTCCTCCTCTTCCTCCTCCTCCTCTCCGTTTTTCAGAAATATTCTATACCTCTTTCCTTCAGCCTTCGGTGTTCTCTGACTTTTTCCAATGCTCCATTTTCCTACCTGGCTTGTCTGTAAACCGCCAAAGATCCTAATTCTTTTAGCCTTAGTGGACGCCAGATTAAAACAAAGCCAAACAGGAGAACAAAATAACTCCGGGGAACGGCTGACTTGCCCCGAAAGAGACCGCCAGAGATCCAGTGCAGATTCGGGTTCCTAGCGCGTGTCTTTCCCCAGTCCATCTTTGAGAGAGATGTGGCAATACCACCTGGCTGTTCAGCTATAAATCTCCTTGCAAATAATAAATGGATTAATAATAACAAGGTATGAAGTTCTTTTTATAGAAAAAATGGGAGAGAATTGAAACTAAATGCGGCAGTTAGACAACCATTTTGATAAGAGGATAATTGAGGCGACACTGGTGTATAATTAGAGGATAATTTATGCTATATCCACTTTTATTTCACCTCCCAAAATAAACCCAGTCCATAATCATTACAGGCAAATTGTTCTGAATTTTATAGCTGCAATTTGAACAAAGTAGTGCAGTTAATCATGGGAGATTTTCCCCCTCTTTTTTGTGTGTGTATTCCTGATTAGAAGTCTAATTGCCTCCTTTCGGAAAGTAAAAATAACTGCGAAGTGACTCTATTTTTATCATTAACAATGTTGACAATAAAATAAAATCAACTGGAATTGTAATCGAAAGGCAAACTTAGGGCGAAGGCACTTTTCCTCGGGTAGTTTATATTGCAATCAAGATTTGCCAAACCACTAACCGCATGTCTCATTTGCATATATTTGAAAGTATTACAGGAGCTTCTGTTTTCAATAGGGGGAAAATGCATTACTGGCAGACCTCTAAGGATTCGCCTTCGGATCAGGATGCTTAAATATAAACGCTATTGTGTAGATGAAGGAGAATTCTCCAATATTTGAGATCCTTTTTATTGAACGCTTTCCCTGACGACTTGTTCTGGAAATGCTCTACTTTACGTTATCAGCTTTGTACAAAATTGGGGCTACCACAGTGCAATGGCCACATTAATCGCATAAGGGTGATTGTGCTTTGATTCTGGAAAGGACATGTTACGCTATTGCGGGTTGTAATGCACACGCTTAAGGTGAGGTATAATGGAATGGCAGAGCGATGCCTCAGTATGGAAGTCTACCTGTACACAGATAGGCGTACACATGGAAGGGCAAATCGTGGTATATTTACTGAATAGGCACCTGATTTTCCAGGCGAGAGTGCTGTTTGAAAGCGTAGCTTTGTTGCTGTGGTGGTGCGGTGAAACAGCCACACACGCGCGCGCACGCACGCGCAGACATATACGGACACGCGCGCGCGTAAGCATACAAAAACACAGAGAGAGAGAGAGAGAGAGAGAGAGAGAGAGAGAGACAGATAAACAAGACTATTGGTTGGTTGGCTGGCTAGTTGGCTGGCTGCTTCTAGCTGGCTCTAAGCTTTGAAGTTGTGCAGAAGGTGGGCTGGCGCAGACGCCAGTAGAAGTGCCCGGGCTTGGTGACGTCAGGGGTTGAGTGACCAATGAGGAGCCGCTGCCCTTTGGAGACAAACCATTCGACTTGGGCGTTTATTTATTTATTTATTTGGAGGGTGTGTGCGCTCGAGCGCGCGCACGTTGTATTCCGTTTCCCCTCCTTCATTTTCTTGTCTGAAGCCTATAAGCTGAAGCTCAACTTTAACAGAATAAATCTACCTTTAAAAAGAAGAAAAGAAATGCCTTAAACTCCATCAGCTTTAAGCAGACACCCGGGTTCATGAGCGTAAAAACAGACCCCCCCAAACCGGAAAAGAACAAGGGCGAAAGAGGGAAGAGAGAAGGGGGAAAACCCCCAAGTTGCTGGCTAGAAGGCAAGAGAAGAGAGGGGGGAGGCCCAGGAAAGAGGACTTGGCAGCGCGTCCCTCTCTTCCTGCCCCCTCCTTCCTTGGTTCCCTTCCTCTCCCTCTCCTTCTCTCTCTCCCTCCCCAGCGCCTCGCGCACGCCTCCCCTCCGCCCCTCCCTCAGTTAACAAGGCCCCTCTCCCCCTATTGCTCTCGCACGCTCTCTTCTTTCTCCCACCTCAACTCCCCCCCCCCCAAGATACACACACTCGCCAAAAGGGGGGGAGAAGGGGAAAAAAGGAGGGAAAGGGGGGGAAATATAGCGAGCGAGCCCCGGCGCTAATTCCCGCCCGGCGCAGGCTAATAGGCTCCCTCGAAGGTGGCGGGAGCGCAAGGGGGCGCCGAGCCGGGCAGAGGCGCTCGTCTCTGGCTGCCCAACTTGGATGATGACCATGACTACGATGGCTGACGGGCTGGAAGCGCAGGACTCGTCCAAATCTGCTTTCATGGAGTTCGGGCAGCAGCCGCCGCCACCGCCGCCGGCGCCTCAGCAGCCTCCCCAACCGCCGCCGCCGCCGCCTCCTCCAGTGGCACAGGCGCCCGGCGGCTCCTCACATTCAGCGCAGCAGCAGCAGCAGCAGCAGCAGCAGCAGCAGACCTCGCCGGCGGCAGCCATGGCGGGCGCCCACTACCCGCTCCATTGCCTGCACTCGGCGGCGCCGGCCTCGCATTCGCACCCGCACCACCAGCACCCGCACCCGCACCACCACCACCACCACCATCACCACCACGCCGCGCCTTACCCGGCCGGGCCGGCCGGCGCCAACTCCTATAGTCACCGTTCGCTTGCCGCGGCTGCCGCCGCGGCCGCCGCCGCCTACCCTTATGTGAGCCACTCGCAGCACAGCCCTTACCTCCAGACCTACCACGGCGGCGGCGGCGGCGGGAACGGCGGCGGGAACGGCAGCGGCGGCGGCGCGGGCAGCCAGACGCGGCCGGACGACGCAGGTGGGTGACCCAGACGCTCGCGCGGATCCTAGCAAAGGCCCTCCGCGCCTCCGCCGTCTGCCCGATGTGGTTGGCCTTCCTTCCTTCCTTCCTTCCTTCCTTCCTTCCTTCCTTCCTTCCTTCCTTCCTTCCTTCCTTCCTTCCTTCCCTTTGTCCCTTTTTCCTTCCTTTCTTCTTTCTGTCTGTTCCTCCCTCTTTCTGGTTCTCCGATTCCTTCCTTCAGCTTTCTTCTGGCCTGTAATGCGTTTTCTTCTGGCTACCCTCTTTTGCACTCTGTCTGGCCGCTTACTTTTCACCCGTCTCCCCCTCCGCTTCGTTCCGAGGCAGTTTCCTGGCAAGTGACCACTCAGGCAATGCACAGGACCTGGCTTCTAATTCCACCGTTAGTGGACGAAGATGCCCGGCTCCCCGCACCCTCTTTCGGGCTGCAGATCTCTTTGAAATGATATTTTCTCTGCCCGATACGGAGCCTGTTTCTCAGGGAAAGGAGTCTCAAGCAGTTCAGTGGAACTTACTCTACTCTTAAGTAAGTGTGCTTGCCATTTGCAGCTCCCCCTCCCACTATCCTGACTTCTTTTCTTGCACCAACACGACCCGAATCGGCAGCTCCGAGACGTTCTTTAGATCCACACGAGTGGTATAAGAGAACCGGAATTCCGGTGTTCTTGAGAATGTTCAAGTATTTGGGGTTTTTTTCCCCTGTGGGTTCGACAAGCATTGCCATGACTTGAATGCTCTCAAATGGACTGTGGAGTGCAATTGTATTCCTACAGACCATTCTCTAGAACCAGACTGACCCTCCGCAGTTCAGAATTGTAACTTGTTTGTTTGGGTTTTCATTATTATTTTTTAAAATGAATGTTTGTTTAGCCCATGGATGCCCTTTCGGTGCGGCGGCCTGTACGGCAGAATTATTTTAAAGAGAGCAATTGGCCCCTTGCTCTCTCCTACAACGATGGGCACAAAAGTGACAGGCTCTTTATGAAAAGGAATTCCTCCTCAGCCAAAGGCAGATGGGCCACAACAGTTCCAGGAAGGAAGGAAGGAAGGAAGGAAGGAAGGAAGGAAGGAAGGAAGGAAGGAAGGAAGGAAGGAAGGAAGGGGAAGGTAGGTAGGTAGGTAGGTAGATAGGAAGGAAGGAAGGGAGGAAGGTAGGTAGGTAGGTAGGTAGGTAGGTAGGAAGGAAGGAAGGAAGGAAGGAAGGAAGGAAGGAAGGAAGGAAGGAAAAGGAAGGTAGGAAGGAAGGAAGGAAGGAAGGAAGGAAGGAAGGAAGGAAGGAAGGAAGGAAGGAAGATTACAGAGCATAGGACACAAATGACTTCAGCGTCCTCTTAGGTGCTTGTAGCAGAGGGAGGATGTGTCCTGAGCCTTGTAAAACTTTGTAAAATTTCAAATTATATATGAATTTTTATCCATCTGTCTAATCAGCTAATCTCTAATAAATATTTTAACACACCAATAAGTGACTAAATCAGCAATAGTGTCAACATGAAAAGGTTTTTTTCCTATATTTGACTGTGGTTATCTGTCTGTCCAAACAGTTATTGCAATTTCTCTGCATTTATTCACTGAGAGAGAAATAAATTAACTTGCATTTGTATAAAATGAGGATAACCATATGAAAGGAAATGTTCGAATAATATGTGTTTATTTCTATTAATTAAAAAAAAGATGTGATTTAGAGGCTATTTAGACAACCATAGTAATTATAAACTAATATAAAATGGGTGTTTCATTAAAATTATTTTCCTGTTGCAGTTTTTGAATGAAGATTTCTGGATTGTTCCCACAAGTAGCAGTATTTATTTACTTGAGGGGAAAAAATCTCCATGCATCATTAATTAATACGTTTTTGCCTGCAGAAATGTAAGGAAAGTCAGTAGGGTCATTTTGCAGGTAAAACTGAATCCACCACTAAAAAGGGCATTGATGATCTGCTTGCCTTATTTACCTGCCCTCCCCCTAATGCTTCTAGAGTTTTAGCAATGATATTGGGGCAGTTTTATCATTAGATAAACTCCCAACATGAACAACACCCTAAGTTAGGCATGAGGTTTTTAGCTGCCCCTCTTCCTTTCCAATGCACTTTCCGTTTTGATTGCAGATCAACAAAAAACCACAGTGATTGAAAATGGGGAGATTCGTTTTAATGGGAAAGGGAAAAAGATCCGGAAACCTCGAACCATTTACTCAAGTCTGCAGCTGCAGGCATTAAACCACCGCTTCCAGCAGACCCAATACCTGGCACTTCCAGAGAGAGCAGAGCTGGCGGCTTCATTAGGACTTACTCAGACACAGGTAATTCCTAGGAAAGATCAGGCCCAGGCAATCTTTAGGAGAGGAGATCAGGACTGACATGCTGGTGTAGTAGCAATGAGATATATATATTTTTTAAAATGTATAATTTCCTTGGACCAAGAATAAAAACTGGAGAGCAGTGGATCACCTAAACATAATCTAAAGTGTATTGATAAGCTATCAGTTATCTGTATAGAGATATTTGGAAATCTAGATCTAGTTCATCTCGCTCTCTACTTTTCCTTTGTCTCTGGTCAAGGCAAACAATGTGTTTAGAAAAAGGCATATCTGCCAACTCAGAATATGGGTGTTTATCTATTTTATTATAGCCAAAATATCAACTATAAAAGAATCATTCATATATATATATATATATATATATATATATATATATATATATATATGAGAAGTATTAGATGTAGGAAGAATAGAACAGTCTCTCCATCCTAGTTTGATATAGTAGAAAGCTACTAGCTATGCTAAAGAACCTCTGGGCCCAAATAAAACACACCTACTTTAGTGATATTCAATAGTAAATTATCCTGGATGAGTAACTAGAATCCAGTGGGTGCCCTTAGGCTAAATGTACAAAAGGTGGTGATAAAGGCTGAGGATCAAAGGGAAGCGTGTACAAAATTAGAACAAGTTAAGCTACAGTTAAATGTGGTTGATGTGTTCTTGGTTTCTCTGCAAATTTAAGCCTGAATGACACGTGGAGTTTTATTGACTTGGAAGAGACAAATACAGCAATTAATTGTATTCCTGGATAGCAAGATTTTTTTTTTTTTTAAGTTTTGGTGGCATTTGCATTTTGGGCAGGAGGGTGGGAGAATCAACCATATATGTGCTTAGGGTTTGTAGTTAAAAATGTAAGTAAAACAGAGAATAAATACAGAGAATTGAGATTCCATGTCTTAAGGTAATAGGCATAAACTTTGTGACCAGGGAAAACAGGAACTTGTATTCTGTCTTTCAGGCTGAAATGTACTAGAAAATTAATATTATAGAGAAAAGAGGAAAATTCTCAGTTTTAACCCTGGGAGTTCGTCCAACAGCTACCCCATTTGAATGACACACACTTTGCGATTGTCCATGTATTATATTCTTCTTTTAAAGTCTCTCTAACTTTTTTAGTTCCTCCCTTATCCCATATCTTAGATTTTTTTAAACAGCGCTCAAATCAAGCCAGCGATCTCCACTTAAACTTCAAATCAGCTCATTTTTCTAGCCCTTTCCTGCTGACCACCAAAGGACCTGCTGCACAGGGGCTGTTTTTGATTCTCCTTTTTTATAAGCCAAGCTGGATTTCCAACTATACTGACATATTTGTGATTTAAGCCAATTTAGGCCCCCTGAAGCCAGTCAGCTGCCAGAGTCATTTTAGAGCCTGATCTTAAAAGCTCTTTCAAGTCCAAGTGGCACCCCCTTCGTAAGCAGATTTATTCAGGAGTAGATCCAGCTGACCAGTGAAACCGCTGAGTATGTGTTTCTAGGACTGCACACTCATCCCACTGTAAGTGAAGAACCAGCTGCACCAGTCCAGGTGAAAAAGTCTGCTAAGGGCAGTTCCAGGTGCTGGAGGATGGGGATTTGAGATGGGAAGCCACTACAATATGAATCAAGATTGTAGATAATCACTTTTGTTGACTACAACAACAACAACCAAAAAAACCTTGAGCTTTCTATCCCTTCTTCTCTTATTCAAAATGAGTGTTGCATGTTTTTAATTATGCAGCATAGTATACTGATGAATATCAAAGCTGTGCACGTCTATAGCTTATGTACCTACGTAGATGCTTTGAATGGATGCATAACAAAATAAGCAAACAGAATAAGTGCACTGCTATGGTCTCATAGAAGAAAAAGGCCCTTAAAAATAAACGCAGTAAAATAAAATGTAATACTCAGTTACCTAAGGCTCCTTTGTTGCAGGTAACTGCAGTGATGAGAATGAAGGGAAGGGTGGGGAGGGGTGAGGGGGGGGGAGGGGAAGGTATTGGACTTTATAATTCAGGGTAGCTGAGCTCTATTGCTCCAAATATAAAGAAGGGAGGGGAGAAAGGAAATTTCAAAGAGATTTTTCTTTGTTCTCTTCCCTCCCCTGGCTGCTCTTAAACTGCTGTTTTATAGGCATTTCGATGACTTTTGCCTTTTGGTTGCAGGTGAAAATTTGGTTCCAGAATAAGCGTTCCAAGTTTAAGAAACTGCTCAAGCAAGGCAGCAACCCTCACGAGACTGACCCCCTGCCCGGCTCAGCTACCCTGTCACCACGGTCTCCAGGTCTCCCTCCAGTCTGGGACGTTTCAGCCTCTGCCAAAGGAGTCAACATGCCTCCCAACAGCTACATGCCTGGCTATTCTCACTGGTACTCTTCCCCACATCAAGACACTATGCAGAGACCACAAATGATGTGAACGGTCCAAGAACAACTGCTGGGCTTGGCCAGCTCGTGGGTCTTGGGGTGAATTGGGAGCGCGTGGCAACGAAGACGGACTCTTCTGCCTTCCCCTCGCCTTTAACCTCAGTAATTGATCTTGAGCAGAGAGAAACCATTTGCGTTGCACCCACGTCAGATGCTCTCTTTGGGATATTTTGTTGGGGATTCAAAGGCACCAAGCCTCATTGGGAGTACAAGTCAGAGCAAAAAAAAAAAAACAAAAACAAAAAAAAAAACAATTGCAGCCTTTCCCAACTAGTCCACCGCGCAGCAACTTAAAAAAAGATCCTGTGGAATGAAAAAAGCTAACAAAGCTACTCTAGTTTTATTCACCAAACCCAGATTAACAAAACAAAATGGACAGCGGAAAGATTTTTTTTCTTCTTTAGAAAGAAGGAACTGCCATCCAGGGAAGAAGATGCGGGGGTGAGGAGAGGGGGAAAAAAACTGGTTTAATAAGAATATTTTATACCTCCCCCATACCCACACCCACACATCGGCACAATCGTGAATCTTGATCGGAACTCATAGTCTTTTCTTTCCCAATCTCTCTGGGGGGGCCCACAAACACCTTTTCACCCACCTATAATCAATAAGCCACTCTAAACGAATTAAAGCACCTGAAAATGACCAGAAGGTCCCTTGCGCATGCCCCATTGCAACCAACTAGAGCTCTGCATTTGCGCCACCTTTATTTATTTTAAGGGGGCTTCCAGAAGGGATTCTTTCCAATGGATTTCATGGGGAGGGGAGGAGAGGAAGGGAGGAAGAATCTGGGAAAGTGACAAACATTTTCCCTGTCCAAAGGCTAAAATTCCGACCACTATCCTCTCCCCATAAACTTTGAGTTGTTTTTCAGCTGCCGACAGTCACGATGTACATACTGTTGAATTTTAGTTGTATATATATCTTTGTATGTTTTGTCTCCTTTCATATATAGAGTAAAAAGCCACAAAATGTGCAAGAGTCCTGCTTTAGTTCTTTGTCTTTCGGCTTCCCACCCTCCCGATTATTCAGGTAGTCAAAGATTACAACCTGTCACACACACGCGCGCACACACACAAACACACACACACTCCCGTTTCCGAAGCATATCAAGAAGGATTCTTTATGACTCCTTCTACTGGAGCTTTACTCTTCCGGAGTAGCCTATCCAAGGCTGCAGCTTCTCAGTCCACATCCTAGGCGGCCTGGCTTAGCTGGAGTTCTCCAGAGTAGGAAAGTTTTGCATACCTCCCCAGGACCACAACAGCACCAGAAGAACCCAGTCTAAGGGACGAGGAGGTCTCTTTGGAAGTCTTCCCCCCCCCCAGCAGGTGCCGGCCAGTGGCAAGGCAGATACACACACGCCCACCCACGCACAGATCAGTCATAAAATCTCTCTTTAGGGACTGCCCGATCTTCCTTATCTGCCCACTCCAAGATTATTTCCTATAGGAAGCCTGTTTGAATCCATCAAGGGTGGATTTAAGGTGTTACCAGCCTCCCAATCCAGATTATCTTTCAGGAGAGCCTTGGGTTGGAGTGAATTGTTTCCCAGTAAGCCACCTAGGATCGCATGCATTTGTCGATATTAGGGCTACCCGTCTCAGGATTTTTGCTAATTCTACCTTGTCCCCCCCCCTTCTGCCCCCACCCAAATTCGCACCCAAGGTCTCCTGCTTTCATGAGCAGAGGGGTGGCCTTGTGGCCGGTCGTTCCTCGAGCAGGCAACTATAGCTGCCTCCGGTTCCTCGGGTCTGGCAGAGCGCTCCTGGCTTCTCCAGGCTAGGGCTGCCGCGAATGATATCCTTGCAAGGTGGTGCCAAAGCGAGAAACCATCCATCATGAAAAGCCCCTTTCGTCACACAAGCAGGATGCCCCATACTGAGAGAATTAATGGCTAGAGCCCTGGGCATCCTTCAAATTATGAACCTTGAAACCACTGAGCTATTTATCAGAAGTCAATGGAGATTCTCGGAGTGCTGAATATAATGACAGCTACATACAGTTGTGCAAAAGGACAGTCACTATAATTAGACACAAAAGCCAAGACTACTTACCAATATACCAGCGCCGGTTTTTTGTTGAGTAACTTCCACGCTCAGTCAGTCTTCAGAATGGCTTAAAACCGATCAAGTCTTGTCATTTTCTACCATTCGCATTGTTACATTTGGAGGGGGGAAATGTTTTTCTTTTCTTTTTTTTCTCCCCCTCCCCATGCCTACTGTGAAACTTTGGGTTCAGCTCTCCCCAGGATCAATTGTGAACAAAGCCCCCAGCTGCAGTGCCATCCAATTTGAAGCAGACATTGGGGACAATTTAAGGTTTTTATCCATAAGAAGGTTTTTTTCCCCCATTCTCTTAAATGCAGCCATAATTAGAGTAATTTTTCATGTAGCCCGCTGATTACAGCGTTTTTACCGTCAAAGATAATTACCTGTAATTTTCTTCCACTTTTAATACTAAAAAGCCATCTTTATTTAGATTCAGGAACAGGAAAGGCGAAACAAAAGAGGGAAATTATTCTGTTATTCATACACAAATTGCAGAGACATAGGACCTAAAATTGAAAATTAACCAAAATTATAATGCTGGGAAGAATGGAAGAGAATTCTGAGGTACAGCTGGTTGTGGGGTTCACTGACTGGTTCTGATTTGTATTAGGGGGCAAAAGCTATGGAGCATTTAAATCAAGGGTATCCAGGCCTGTCATAGATGAGTCAGTTATCCCTCCGTCCCCCAAGTTTTCCTGATGAAGAATAATCTTGAAACCGGATGAGCCACAGGGAAAACGGGGAAGCAAAGCCAAGGAAGAGTAAGTACGCTGCCTCTGCGATGGGTAGGCCTCAGCACTAAATAAATATAACTTATGGGATCAAAGTGTGATGCAAGACGCAAATCTCATGGCAGTGAAATTAGGAAATCATTCCCTGCAAAGAATTATAGTGCTTTGCACCTTGGCCTTTCACCAGTTTCATGCAATGTTGTTGGTTTCTTTCACCTCAACTGATTTCTGGTTGATCCATCCAACCACGAGTAAATCCCCCCTTTCACACACACCCCAGCCCTACCACACGCCACTCCACTGTCAAAAGCAGCCCATTTTTGCCCCATTGGGGCAGAAATAAAGGAAAAAGATGTGCACCTTTCCTCTGCCTCTGCTCCCCACCCGGCTAAATCTCTTTAGAAGCGGGGAGTGGACAATAGAATTTGCTTCTCTTATAATAAAAGGGATGTTAGGTCAGCAGGAGCGGATACAAGACATTCTGCAATGGGCCTTTGACAGCAAGAGTTTAGTGAGGTTCAGATTCTACCCACCAAGCGGATTTCCAGACTGCCACTCCGGGAGAGAGAGAGAGAAAGAGATGGAGGGAGGGAGGGAGGGAGGGAGGGAGGGAGGGAGAGAGAGAGAGAGAGAGAGCGGGATCCATTAAAGGGACATCCGCAGGCAGAGTAGGGCAAACGCGAATAGAACATAAGACTTTTCAAGAACAGATTTTGTCTTGCTGTCCATCAGCAGCTTCTTTATATCCCACTCTGGCCTCTTCCCTATTCGCTGAAGCCTCTCTCACTTGAATCCAGAATTCTTCTGAATAGGGAAGAACTTCGTGAAGAAGGTTCAGTGAGAGACTTTTGCCGCTTGAGAGCGGCGGCGGGGGGAGGGGGAGAGAAATTGGGTCTTCCATTGAAACCGAAGGCAAAATGCCTTGGAGAATCCGGGTCGCTCTTGCATATGAATTGTTCCTCAAAAGCATTCAATAAATCTCTTCTGAAATCGGGGATAGGGAGAGCGGGAGAGAAAGATGAGCCAGGACTACTGAATTTGTCCAAGCCAGATTCACCGACCACAAAACAAAACAACAACAACAACAAAAACTCCTGCAATCTGTTGTTTTAGCAACCCGATTGTCTGCCACCTGGCCCGATGGCCCCCTCCATAAGAAGCGGCCTTTAACTTTCGTCCAACAGCGGAGAAAAGGTTTGGGCCAAGGAAACAATACACGCAAAAGGCTGCTGGAATAAGTGGCAATGACTTCCCACTCTGAAGTCTCGAACAAGGAGTAGAAAGGAAATGAGGTTTAAGAAGAGGAATCGGGATTTCAGCATCTTCAAAGCATCTGAGTGGGTGGGGCGGGGGGGGAGCAGGAGAGAATTATAATTGAGAATTTAAGAAGTAAAAAGAGGATCCGGAATGACAGCTCGCTCCTCTTTCAACACCCCGTCTCTAAACACATTTGGCTGAGAGAAAAATCCCAGTGGCATTTACAGCCAGATATTAAGGATGCCTAAAAAAAAAAAAAAAAAAAAAAAGCAGTAGGATTCACCTTAAATAAATTCGCAGAGCATTGAAGCTATGGGAAAGCTGTAAGCATGCTCCAAACACACACACGTGCTCGCGCGCGCGCGTGCTCATACGCACGCACACACATACACACACACACACCGGCTCTCGGCGGATTCGATCTTTTACAGTGGGGCTACTCAGGACTGGGGCTGGCAATGCCGATCAGGAATATAAACCTTCATAGAATTGGAAGTGAAGAGGCAGCTCCTGAGCAAACGACCTGCCTTGCTTACTGACATCACAACGGTTTCTTCCTTTCCGTTTTGAGGCGCCTTCTTCCTCTTCCCAATACTCGTCTTCCCTTCCCCCCACTAATCCATATGGTTGCGCTGGCAGGAATGAACCAGGATTTACTCAATTAACCCAATTGCCTGCATTCGCACGACCCGCTGAACCATCAACTCACCACGCAGGCTGGCCCTAGTTTCAAATGTGGTTGGCTGTTTCGGGCTTCAGTGGGTCGTGGGAATACAGCCACTCGGTCTGAGCACACCCACGTGAATCGTGGAGCTCGCATTGTCGAGTCAGCGGAGCGGCCGGCGTAAGACTGCCTTCCGAAGGCATCCAGCTTCATCTCGTAAAGTCCCAACCAGGGAAGAAGGCAGGCGGGCAAACAAACCACAGACAAGCGCTCCTTACCTCACTCGACTCGGTAAGATCTACTTCGGAGACGGAAGCAACCATAGGGAGGCTAAACAACTACTCTTTCCTGTTTCTTTCTTTCTTTTCTTTTTTTTAATAAAAGAGCAATAACCATCATTTCTGTAATAATGTGGAAAAGCTGAAGGGATAATGCGGAAGTCGAAAGAAGACTTAAAACCCCAAGAAACCTCACCCAATCGAGACAAACAACTTACCCCCGTGCAAACCTGTTAGGCAGAGATGAGAGTCTAAGGAAATCTAGAGTGGAAAGAAGCAGTGGAGGATATATATATATATATATTTCCCTGTGTTTCAGGGCAGAAGCTCTTTCTCTAGATTCTTGGTTGACTGAACAGATCCAGGTGTGAAATTGTTTGCACACCCCAGCACCTCTTATATTGCCAGCAAAATTAGCTGTTATTACTGTCACTGTTTAGTGATGGTTAGCTTGATAAAAAAAAAAACCCGCTGTAATCAAGACCTGGCGCATCTTTGCAAATTACGGATAATTGTAAACGTCCAGATTATGATAATAGCATCCTAATCCAGCCTGCAATATAATTATTACAGAGTGTTACATCTGAAACTGTCCAGTAGGGCTAATTCGGCCATTATTTAGACCTCTTCCCCCTCTCCTCTTTCCCCCCCTCCGCTACCAATGGGTTGCTGAGCAGAAAATGTACAATTGTAATTTCACGGGGCACTCGATGTGTAATGATAGAGGAAGAGGGGGAAATACAAAAGTGAAATGCGAACGGGAGCGATTAAATCAAAACGTGGAGGGCTGGAAGAAGTGGGGGGGGGGAATATGGGCTGATACAGAGCAGAAGAAGAGCGAGAGTTAAAAACCGAGCAAATCAGGGATCCGAAGCTGGGCGGGTGAGCGGACGGGTGGGCGATAGCCTTGTTGTCGAATCACCAGCGACATCAGCAGTGCCTTCCCGGAGACGCGCCCGCGCCGAGCGCCTGAAATCCTCCGCTGAAGCTCCGTT